AGGTGTTAGCAGCCAGGGAGGCAGGTGTTAGCAGCCAGGGAGGCAGGTGTTAGCAGCCAGGGAGGCAGGTGTTAGCAGTCAAGGGGGAAGGAAGGTGTTAGCAGCCAGGGAGGAAGGTGTTAGCAGCCAGGGAGGCAGGTGTTAGCAGCCAAAGGGGAAGGAAGGTGTTAGCAGCCAGGGAGGAAGGTGTTAGCAGCCAAGGGGGAAGGAAGGTGTTAGCAGCCAGGGAGGAAGGTGTTAGCAGCCAGGGAGGAAGGTGTTAGCAGCCAGGGAGGAAGGTGTTAGCAGCCAGGGAGGTAGGTGTTAGCAGCCAGGGAGGCAGGTATTAGCAGCCAGGGAGGCAGGTGTTAGCAGCCAGGGAGGTAGGTGTTAGCAGCCAGGGAGGCAGGTGTTAGCAGCCAGGGAGGAAGGTGTTAGCAGCCAGGGAGGGAGGGAGGTGTTAGTAACCAGGGAGGGAGGGAGAGAGGTGTTAACAACCAGGGAGGGAAGGAGGGAAGGAGGGAGGGAGCAGTTAACAGTTAGCGGCAGTCACACTGACCTTACACCATCACGAAGTAAGCATTTCAGGCATGTCCTTCAAGGGTACTTTCGTGGTCCCGTTCTGGAACGAAATGGGGACTGGTTAACGAAAGGAGGGACTGGTTAACGAAAGGAGGGACTGGTTAACGAAAGGAGGGACTGGTTAACGAAAGGAGGGATTGGTTAACGAAAGGAAGGACTGGTTAACGAAAGGAGGGACTGGTTAACGAAAGGAGGGACTGGTTAACGAAAGGAGGGACTGGTTAACGAAAGGAGGGACTGGTTAACGAAAGGAGGGACTGGTTAACGAAAGGAGGGACTGGTTAACGAAAGGAGGAACTTTTTAACGAGGAGAGGAGAAACGAAAGGAGGAATCACAAAATGAGAGAGATTGTTAATTAAAAGTTGTTTTAATAAAATTAAAATTTAACGAAAGGGGATAGCTGGTTAACGAATGAAATGACTAACAAAACAGTGAGATGTCTAAGGGGCAGATTCATAAATGGGAAACTGGCCAATCAAACCCCCACCAATGGTTAACGAAAAACAGGACTCGTTAAAGAGAGGTGTGGGTATGGTTAATGAGAAAACTATCCCTTCGTTAATTAGAGAGAAGATTGGGTCAATTGGGAATGGCTGAGGACAACAAGGAGGATTTAACGAAACGGTGAACTGATTAGTGAAAAGATGATTTGTATAACATTTTTGGGGTTAGACTGGTTAACGAATATAACGATTGGTTAATTAAAAAGTCATAATCAACGAAACAGTACTAGGAGACAAATGAAGGGGGTTAACAAATAAATGGTTAATGGTGACTGGCCAACGAAAATGGGGGCCTATCTATTAGGAATTCTAATTACTAGTCTCTTTCGAATTACGGCACTTGCTAGAGATGGAAAACAAACGAGGATGTAGGGTCGTTTAACAACCAAAAAAAAAAGATTGGTTAACGAATAAATGAAAACAAACAAGACGTTTCTTTAACGAATGAATCAATTGCTTCAACTTTGAATAACGAAGGGAAGAACAAAGGGAGATGTCGAAGGTACTTGGAAGAGGTCAGGATAGCTCTCCAGGATAAGGATAGGACTCGGGGATCAGGATAGGTCTCAGGGATCAGGATAAGTCTCTGGGGTCAGGATAAGTCTCTGGGGTCAGGATAGGACTCAAGGATCAGGATAGGTCTCAGGGATCAGGATAGGTCTCAGGGATCAGGATAGGTCTCAGGGATCAGGATAGGTCTCAGGGATCAGGATAGGTCTCAGGGATCAGGATAGGTCTCAGGGATCAGGATAGGTCTCAGGGATCAGGATAGGTCTCAGGGATCAGGATAGGACTCAGGGATCAGGATAGGTCTCAGGGATCAGGATAGGACTCTGGGATCAGGATAGGTCTCAGGGATCAGGATAGGACTCAGGGATCAGGATAGATCTCTGGGATCAGGATAGGTCTCAGGGATCAGGATAGGTCTCTGGGATCAGGATAGGTCTCAGGGATCAGGATAGGACTCAAGGATCAGGATAGGTCTCTGGGATCAGGATAGGTCTCAGGGATCAGGATAGGTCTCTGGGATCCAAATGAACACCGATTTCGTTTTGTTAAGGAGAAAAAAAGGGTTTTCGAAGCACGTATTTCAGACTCTCACAGCTAACGAGTGGACTGTAGGCTTTAGGGAGCTCAGAACTGCGTTGATCTCGACAGCCGTTGGGTAACCTTAGTGTTTGGTAACGATAAACGAAGATAAGGTAGCTTGAGGGATCAAAGCCAGGTCATTAGAGGATCAGAGGGTCACTACAAGGGGTCAATACACACAGGTTAGTCCAAGAGTTAAGAGCTACGTTGTTCTCATCAAAGGAATCACAGAAAATTCTGCCCTTAATGTAGAATATGATTGGGATTAATTATACTTTAATATGGGATACGTGTAATCCCAAAATAGACGGATTAATTAAGATCAAATTATAACAACCTGCCATACCAAAAATATATATAAAGTACATATAGCCATTGTTGGTCAAACGTACAAAAATGAACGGATGTGCAAAACAAATCAAAAATGCATTTTATACTATTAACTTTGCATAGGGAACGAGAAATAACCAAATCTAAAATTTGCTAGGCCTAGATTGGCATATATTAGGCCTAAGTTGGCTTATTTAGGCTTAGGAGAAAGAGAAGTAAGGTTGCTTAGTTTTTTTTCTTATTATTGAGCCATTTGAAGCATTTTAATGTATTACGTTCACCCAATTGCTGATATAATATGCACTATCATTTTGGTGGCTGGGTTGTTTAGTGGCTAGCAAGGTCAGGGGTCAGGGGTCAGGGGTCAGAGGTCAGGGGTCAGAGGTCAGGGACAACCAATAACAACACCAATTAAATAATAGTAAGGGACAGGAGTCAAGAAAAATTGGGAAATTTTTTTAGCAACCAGGAAACGCAACATAAATTAGGAATTTAAGATTGAAAGAAAATGGAATATATGTATATACAGAAAATGGGAAAACGGAAGTGCCCCTTTGTATATAATTCACTACACAGTAGTAGTATACCTGTTAGTATATATGTTCTGCCGTATATCAAGCCTTAAACACCTATCAACATATCAGCGTAACTACCGATTTAACGAGAACTGACATCACCACATCACACTTATATCCCAACAACAATAGGTATAATAATATATTATACCCATATAATGCTAAAGCACTTTATTACTTACTAATATTACTTTACTAATCAAATGACTCCAGCACTCTCGCCTTCGCTAGAGATACGGATGCTGGCAACCACTTGGGCTGAACGGTAGAGCGACGGTCTCGCTTCATGCAGGTCGGCGTTCAATCCCCGACTGTCCAATTGGTTGGGCCCCATTCCTTCTCCCCCGTCCCATCCCTAAATCCTTATCCTGACCCCTTCCCAGTGCTATATAGTCGTAATGACTTGACGCTCTCTCCTGATAATTACCTTCCCTTTCTCTCCCCGAAGCACTGATTGTGTTAGTAATTTAGAGGCAAGCTAGCGAAGCATATGCAGTGATTTGCTGTTGCTTAAGATTCGCTACTTGGAACAAAAAATTCCAAGTAGCACGGGCTATGGTGAGCCCCAGTGGTTATAAAATACCTCCCTCAGATGACCCACAATGCCGAGCATCACTCGTTTGCGTCATCTCCAGAGCTGTGGGGGAATTGAGGGGGTCGTCGAGATTAAATTGAGTACTTAAGAGGTGCAACTGAGGAGTGGTCTCTTTAATATGGGATGCTGGGAGTCTGGGATGCTGGAGAATTGTGGGTTATCTGTCTACTGTTGCTTGCTCAGGTGCTCGTAACCTCTATGTTACACAACGTTATGTCGAGGAAAGGAGGAGGAGGAGGAGAAGAACGAGGAATGGAGGAGGAGAAGAACATGAGTCTGAACAAGCGAGAAGGAAGAACAGGATAACGGAGAACAACATTGGTTAAGGCATAAATACAGGAATGGTAAATATTTTTATAATTGGAGGCTCGCCCACCCCCCCACAGGTATCATGCCTGTGGGGGCGTGGTGCCTGTGGAAGCGTGGTGCCTGTGAGGGCGTGGTGCCTGTGGGGGGAGTGGTGCCTGTGGGGGGAGTGGTGCCTGTGGGGGCGTGGTGCCTGTGGGGGCGTGGTGCCTGTGGGGGCGTGGTGCCTGCGGGGGCGTGGTGCCTGTGGAAGCGTGGTGCCTGTGGGGGCGTGGTGCCTGTGGGGGCAACACAAATGAGACTGGCGGCAGTGTTGCAGAAGGGTGACAAAGGTGCCCGTGGCGTGTGAGAAGGTCGCGTGCTACAGAGGTGAGAAGCACAGATCTGAACCCCGTTGAAAAGTGTGAAAATAACAGCAAACTTCTCCAGAAAATATGAATGTCTCAGAAATAAGAGAAACACACATATATATATATATATATATATATATATATATATATATATATATATATTTCAAGACTTTAGGCAGAAATAACAATAACCCACAGAGATAAAGAAAGAAATTACGTAGTAATAACAGAGAGAGTGAGAGAGAGAGGGAAACTGTCAGGAGGAAACGCCAAGCCATTACGACTATATAGCAATTGAAAGGGGTCTGGATAAGGATTTGGGATGGGACTGGGAAGGAAGGAACGGTACCCAACCACTTCGGGACGGTCGGGGATTGAACGCCGACCTGCATGAAGCGAGACCGTCGCTCTACCATCTGGCCCAAGTGGTTGGACAGAAAGAGAGAGAGAGAGAGAGAGAGAGAGAGAGAGAGAGAGAGAGAGAGAGAGAGAGAGAGAGAGAGAGAGAGAGAGAGAGAGAGAGAGAGAGAGAGGGGGGCCCTGTAGCTAGTGTGTGCCCAGGAAGGGTGGGAGGTTGTGGGGTGGGGGTTGTGGGGGGGGGTTGTGGGGTGGGGGTTGTGGGGTGGGGGGAGAGTGCAGGTGATGTTTTGCAGTGCGTAGTTGAACGAACACTACCTGGAGGTCACTAACTTGTCGCTTGATGTGGGCCAGAGAGTCTGAGGAATACGACATGTTGGCGAATACCATACGCTCCTCGTAGTCGTACTCGCACAAGATCTTGTTGTCGCACAGGTAAAACCGGTCGCCGACGCAGAATCTGCCGAGAGAAACAAGCTGGTTAGTAGGGTGACAGTGCCTCGTGATTTAACGCGAAATACAATGCTAAAAGGGAAAAATTAAAAACACACAAGATAGACACAAACGCGTTCCTGGATTCTGAAGGAGATCTAGCGGTAATGTCCTGGTGAAACTAACCAATCAGGGCGTGGAAAGTGCTAATATCTTCCCCTTGTAGCGAGGTACAGATGATCGCTTCCCCCCGGGTTACAGAGCAGCACAGACACGTGGACGGTCCGCATCACAGGCGGGAAAATCTTACAAGAAAGTGGAACACACGAGGCAGCCTTTTGGCAAAGGGACTTTGACCAGCGAGCGCAATGAAATGACCAAACGACTCCTGGATAGGCGTTGTTGGTAGCGAGGGGTAACGCTGCCAGGTCACTGAAGGCTAAGATTGGAGAAAAGTTGAAGTAGGAAGAAGGGGGAAGGGGGGGGGGTTGTAGATATTGGGGTTGGGGGGGGGGGAGCGCCCAGTGAACATAGGGGGGGAAGGGAGGGTGCAGGAGAGGTAGAGACAGTGAGGGGTGACAAGTATCTTGAAATTCGATCAAACAATAAATTCAAACAAAACCAAATGATCGTTTAACTACTCCAGACTTATTGCCTCACGCAGAAATCATGGGGGAAGGGGTCACGCAGTAGCCCCACGTCAGAGGTCACGGGGTCACGCTTGTTGGCCCCACCAGAGGTCACATTCCAGCCCCACACCATCGCTCGTCAAGACAGTCAAATGGGAGGCAGGCTCTAGCTGTGAGGCTGCCTGTCAATTCATCACAGGAAACAGTCGCTTTTAATTAGCATTTATTCAGGTAAGATGCGAGCAGCAGGTATGTCCGCGTCGACGCTGGCAACTCCTCCAGTATACCTCCGTCAGGTCACTTCCCCAAGAGTATACCTCCACTCTGTCACTTCCCCAGGGGGGTATTCCTTCAACAGGTCACCTTCACTAGTACTCCTCATCAACTGTCCCTCTCTCAAGATCCTAATACCACCATCTTGCCTAACTACGTACTAGTTTGCATCGGCTCACGACGGAAGATAAAACCCCGACATCTTAAAGACCTGGGACCAGATTCACGAAGCAGTTACACGAGTACTTACGAACGTGGACATCTTTCCTTAATCTTTTACGCCTTTGGTTACATTTATTAAACAGTTTACAAACATGAAAACTTGCCAATTAACTGTTGTTATTGTTATAAACAGCCTTCTGGTGCTTCGGAGCTCATTAACTGTTTAATAATTGTAAACAAAGCCGCCAAAGACTGAGAATAGATGTACAGGTTAGTAAGTGTTCGCGTAACCGCTTCGGAAATCTGGCTCCAGCAGATCATTGACATTTTCAATTCTATCACCTTATTACGTCAATGTTGTACGTCTTACCACTTGGATTGGTCGGTAGAACGAATGCGACTCGCTTCTTGCAGGGCCGGTGTTCAATCCCCGATGGCTAGCCCCCCAGTGGATAGGTATCGTTCATTCCCTGCGTTCTCCCCCAATTCTGTCCTCATATCCACGCGCAATATAGCCATACTGGGTTACCTATTTCTCCTCATATCCTCATAATCACCTTTTCTCTTTCGCTACAAGTTATTGTCTCTTGCTCTCCTTCCCTCTCATCAGTTCCTCGCTCCTCCCCTCCAGTGTAACCCTTGGACAGAAGGTTAGATATATTATACAATATGTTCAGGACAAAATACTAACCTAACCTAACCTAACCTAACGTAACCTAACCTAACCCCGACTTGTAGTGGTTTAGATGGACTTGGCCAGTGGAGGGGGTCAGGAGTTGGGGTCGAGGAATAAGTGGGGGTCAGAGACTGGGGTCAAGGAATAAGTGGGGGGTCAGGTGATTGGGGGTCTGGTGATTGGGGTTTGAAGCAGAAGATGAGATTATATAGGACCGGAGCTTGAGGAATTAGGGACAAGAACTAGAGTCCTATATCTAAAATTTCCTTGCTGTATCTTACCTTATTTACTATAAAGATTGTATTTGTTAACGTCCTATACAATGCTATCAAAATACACCAACCAAATACAACTGATAAAAATACATTAAGATGGAAACTCACATATCAATTAAGGGAGGATAGTGCGTCTCCAGATATCATAATATTTATTATCTGCCAAGCATAGACAGAAGGGAAAGGGGTGCGTATGTGTTTGTGTGTGTATACACTACACGAAATAAACAATACCTCCCACCGCAACACCCAACAGTGGGGTTGATCACGGGCCGTCCTTGCAACACCTCACCTTCTTAATGCATTCAAAACACTCAATATTATTCCCCTTTCAAAGCCGTCGACCAAAATTGGACTTCTCCTCGCCCCGAAGCACTAAGTCCCCCCCTCCAAAAAAAAAAAAACCCTGACACTGTTCATAGTAAACTGAAATGAAATGGAAACTCAAGGAACTGCACATTTACACTTCAAGTGGCAAACCAACTAATGAATAAAGTTTGAATGGCGCTCCATGTGTGAGTTGAAGGTGCCTGTGTGCGCGTTCGTTCCCCCCTCGTCTATGGACTTTTGGACTTGATACTCCACTCTTGGAGAGGCGTTCCAGAGAGGAACATTTCAGAATAGCTGTAGCCCTTAGGTGCTGTAATTGAGCACTTGGCAAGTCTTGATTAAATAAAGGCTTGGAGGGCCCACTCCTCGTGGCATTTTCTCATGCTGGGAAAGACTGAGGGTTCATTTTTTTTTGGGGGGGGGGGAATTTCGTGTGTGGATCAATGTGGGAAAGAACCGGGCCTTGTGGAAGAGGGATTATATACGTTCTACGTCTCTTGATGCGCTCTTGGAGTACTTGACTCTCTTTTGTGAACAGTGAGAGATAACTCTCACTTGTGTATCATGTTCCTATCATGTTCCCATCATCATAATTTCACTGGCTTCCAGGGCTACTCAGTCCATGATGTGACTGGCTTCCAGGGCTACTCAGTCCATGATGCATCTGGCTTCCAGGGCTACTCAGTCCATGATGCATCTGGCTTCCAGGGCTACTCAGTTCATGATGCATCTGGCTTCCAGGGCTACTCAGTCCATGATGTGACTGGCTTCCAGGGCTACTCAGTCCATGATGCATCTGGCTTCCAGGGCTACTCAATCCATGATGCATCTGGCTTCCAGGGCTACTCAGTTCATGATGCATCTGGCTTCCAGGACTACTCAGTCCATGATGCATCTGGCTTTCAGGACTACTCAGTCCATGATGCATCTGGCTTCCAGGGCTACTCAGTTCATGATGCATCTGGCTTCCAGGGCTACTCAGTCCATGATGCATCTGGCTTCCAGGGCTACTCAGTTCATGATGCATCTGGCTTCCAGGGCTACTCAGTCCATGATGCATCTGGCTTCCAGGGCTACTCAGTTCATGATGCATCTGGCTTCCAGGGCTACTCAGTCCATGATGCATCTGGCTTCCAGGGCTACTCAGTTCATGATGTGACTGGCTTCCAGGGCTACTCAGTTCATGATGCATCTGGCTTCCAGGACTACTCAGTCCATGATGCATCTGGCTTTCAGGACTACTCAGTCCATGATGCATCTGGCTTTCAGGACTACTCAGTCCATGATGCATCTGGCTTCCAGGGCTACTCAGTTCATGATGCATCTGGCTTCCAGGACTACTCAGTTCATGATGCATCTGGCTTCCAGGACTACTCAGTCCATGATGCATCTGGCTTCCAGGGCTACTCAGTTCATGATGCATCTGGCTTCCAGGACTACTCAGTTCATGATGAATCTGGCCCCAGAGCTACTCGCATCTTAAGCTGATGCTCATCATGGTGGTAATGGTAGTTGAAGCGGTGTCGGAGTGGCTATGGTGGAGATGGTGGTCGAGGTAATAGGGGGTAGTGGTAATGGTAGTTATGTGGTAAGCGATGGTAATTGCGGTGGTAATCGTAGGAGGAAATTGGAGGGGGGGAGGTAGTTATAATTATGGGGGGGGGGTGGCGATGGTGGTCACTAGAGGTGGTTATAGTTGTAGTGATGATGGTAATGGTGGTAGTTGTAATAGTGGTGGGGGGGGGGGGGTGACGACTCTATCTCCCTCTCTACTCCAATACAGTCCGGGGAGGTAGGGAGGGGAGTATAAGGGATCAGGAGCTGCTCCTTAGACTGTCGTATTTCCCCCTGAAGTCTCCTCCAATATCAGGGCAAGATCTCCTGCCCTGATCCCCAGGGTCATCTCCGCTCCATCACACCAAACTACTCTGCTCCTCAACCTTTCTCCACCACTGATCCAAGCAATCAATTCTCCCTCTCAAAACAGCTTTCTCCAACACAACTCTGCCCTCCCCCAGCGTTGAGGGGTTGAGGGATGTGCCCAAACACACACACACACATACGCCTCCAAACATGAAGTCTACCACACACACACACACACACATCTTGGAGCATCTACTCCAACGATGCTCAAGTCTGTAGTGATGTCCACAGCTTCCGGAGCTTACAGCTTTCTAAACCGACACATTTTTATCTCCTGGTTATCTTCCTCCTCCCAATTCCTACCTCCCTCACCCCTACAGATGCCTCTATCCTACCCCCTCTTCCCCTCTCCACCCCCCACTACCACCTCTTCCGTCAACCCCCCCCCCCTCCCCAACTCCACCCCCACCTACCCCCCACAACCCACCTTCTGATCTCTCGTACGAACAAGCGACCCTAAAAACAGACTCCGAAACCGGTGTGACGGTGGCGCTGCCCGCTAGTCTCCGCGACTCCCTATACCCGCGAGCCGGCAGCGGGAAACACCATGGAATATCCATTTAATTGGATCATATATCACTCCTATTGATTAATCAAAGTTCCTCTGTTAGAGGGGGGGAGGGGAAGGGGGAAAAAAAGAAATCGCAAGAACGGAACGTTTAATTAAATCGACGCCATGAAAATGCGCCGGGGTTCGAATACAGCCGAGGAACAAAAACAAAAGGGATTCTTTAGCCGGGTGATCAGTGCGCGCCTCTTA